GCATTTATTACTTGTTTGTGTTATGATTTTGGGTTGCTGAACCTTAAATGATGTTAGAAGATGATTTTATTTATTTTTCCCAAAACTTTTGAGAATATGAGCTATGTTCTAAGGTGTGGGTGTTGTTTTGGAAAAATCTTTTTAAAAATGGAACAAAAATCTTGTTTTGGTAGAAACCCTAGAATTTGAGAATTTTGGGAAAAAGATTGAGATATGGGAAAATTTATGCTTGATAATTTGTTATGTGAAGAAATTATGGAGACATCTCTATAATTGCATCAAATGAGGAATTTCATGGAGGAAATGAGATTTATTGATTTCGGAACTTATTGTTGGTTAGTTTTTGAAAAACCAAACTTAGAAAATGTGTTGAACATGTGGAGAATACATGAATGTTGAAGTTGTTATATCATTCCTTGGAATTATATTATGATGATTAATATATAAAAATGCTTGAAAGCTAATATTGTATTATTTTATCTTTTGTAAATGTATTATGATGTTGCATTGATGAGAGATGTGAAAATTTGATCACAATGGAGAATTGTGCGGGGAAATTGAAAATGGATTATATTAATGTATTGGACATTTTGCATTGCCATTCTATTTTATCATTGATGTAATTGATTTTGAATCTTGCATTGGACAAGTATTGCTTTGTGAAAGAAAATTGTTTTGTGAAACAAAATCATATTGATTTGTTTTTTGGGTAAATACATTGGTAAGTCGGATTGAGGGTGTAGTTGATATTGGTTAAGTTGGCCTGAGTGTCCAGGGTGAAAGACCGAAAACATGTGCGGACGAGGTGTCACGTGCCTTTCGGTTAGCAATTGGTAAAGTGGAGATTGGTAGTGCTTGTTATGTCTATTTGCAGACACCTACCTAGGGATTACCTAAATCGTATTTACCGCCCCTTCGAATTACATTGAAATGATTAAATTGTCAAATTGCATTGTGCATAAAAGTTTCAAATGATAGAGATGTATGTTTTTGAACATGGCATAGTATATGCATTTATCTCAAGAGATTGTATAAAATATATATACACTTAGTTAAGATTTTTTTATTGGGCTTTGTGCTCACCCAGTGAAATTTTGTGCAGGAAAGGATGTGGTGATCCCGCCGAGGTAGAGGCGTGGAATATATTTGGAGAGCACAAGGATCTTTTCTTTTTGTTGTAATTATTTTTGACAAGCCAAAGGCTTTGCATGTACGGTTCGAAAAACCATTTTTGGTGTATCCAGGCTTAAGCTTTGGAATTTGTAGTCCTTGAGGGCATTAATTTGTACTTGACTTGTCATGCCACATGTTATAGATTCATATTTTAGGAATGTTGGATATATAACAACATGTGGAATATATATATATATATATATATATTCTATTATATAAAATCCACATGTTTTTGTGAGTGTGGATTGTGTCACTTTTTGAGTTTCCAATAATGCCCTTTAAATCTAATAATTATCTCATCCAATAATTGTTTCATCAAACTATTCAAAACTATTAAAATGTTTGGGTGATTCTATTTACACAACACTTTCAACTCATTACACCCTCATTTTTGATATTTTTTTTATTACTATTTTATCCTTTTATAAAATTATCGATTAACCCTCTAACCCTAAAAATTCAGCAAACAACTTTCTTACGCCACTCACCATTCTCCACCACTGTTATCTCACCTCCGGCAACCCTCTTCCACTATCGGCCAGCTATCTTCCAGCTCCGACAGCCCTTTTCCAATGCCGGCAACCCTCTTCTACCTCTCTCCTACCTTTCCCAACCCCTCATAAACTCTTTCCTTAGCTTTGAAAACGCTTCTCCTTCCTAGAACTGCCATCCAGGTCAGCCCTTCCTCTCTGTGAATCGCGATTCTTCTTCTACTCCTCCTCTTTCGCTGCTATCCAGATCTGAAACTTCTCTCTTTCGCTTAATCAGTCATGATGATGGAGGGCATGAGTGGGTTCGCAGGGTGGTTCATGGTAGTGTAGATGGGTTGTGGTGGAGATGAGTCACCACCAGCGAGAAGGATCGCGACGAAGAAAGAGGCTAGAAGGGGAGGCACAACGGAGGATGAAGAATGTAGAATGGAAGATGCAGTAGCAGTGGTGGGCTAGGAAGGTGGTCACAGTGGGGGAATGGGCTCGCGGTGGTTGGAGATGGCAGTTGTGAGGGGATCTAGATGGTGGCGGCGGTGGTAGAGGGAGTCGCTGGTGGGGGAGGAGCTGTGGGTCGGCTATCGGAGATGGCAGTGGCTGCCGGAGGAGGTGGTTGGGATTGGGTAGAATTAGGGTTTGAAAGTTGGGGGTGTAAATAAGAGGGTATAGTTGGTATTATGAGGATGGTAAAGAGATAAAATCAAAATTTTGAATTTTGATATGTTGTGTAATTAGAAATTTGGTGTAATGAGATGTTTTCGTTGTGTAACTAGAATTACCCAAAATGTTTTCATCATTCATCAAATTGCCCATCAATTGTCAAATTATTTAACCGTGAAATTTTAAATATATTACATTTACACACACCACTAATGTATATATCTTAGAAGTTCTGCACGTGAGTGTTTAAAATTGATAATTACAAATTTATGGGTTCAGGAATAATTGCATAAGCGTATTTTGGAAAAATGAAAAATTGACATTTTGTGTTGATACTAAGTTCACTATAGACTTTATATAATAGGAGAAATGAACTACATGCACTCCTAAAATGTGGATATAATAAAAAATAATAATTTTTTATGATAAAAGTTATGAATGTTTGTGATATGTTATATCACTTTGTGGTAAAGTTACGAATAATAAATTTGTAATGTGTACCCTAAAGTTACGAATGGGAATTATGATAGTTTTTGATTTTTTGTTATGACATTTTGTGATGAGAAAAGTTAATATTTTGTAGTAAAAAAAATTATGAAATTTTGTTATTTATGTTCAAAATTTTGTAAAATTTTATTAAAATAATTATGAAGGGTATAAAGTATTCACTCTTCTAAGAGTGCACATATAACCACTCTCACATTGTTGCGCTGCTCTCTTTATTCTAACTGGCGGGTTGGACACTCAAAAAATGTGCAATTCAAATAAGTAACAACAAAAATAAATAATAAAGAAATTAATATCACAATATATAAATTGCTTAAATGGTAAGTGTGTTATTAATGAAATCTAAGGTTTTGGGTTTAAATCTTGCTTGTGCACTATAGTACAATAAAATTTTACTTCAGCATATAAAAATCCAGGGCAAATTACACAAATAGTTCCTGTACTTTACCCCGTGTGTCATTTTGGTCCCTAACATTTCAAATTGCTCAATTTAGCCCCTCAATTTAACGAAGTGTGTCAATTTTGTCCAATAATTGATGCTCGTTTGAAATTATGGACGGAAAGCCAACACCTGCCTCTCATGTGCTCCCTCTAACAATTACTGAGGGGCACACTTGTCTTTTCACTTCAAACCCTAGGTTACCTCCCGCCAAAACCATATATGTCGTCTTTATCTCCATTATATACATATACAGACTCCAAAATTGATGGTAGACGAAGGACGGAAGAAGATGATGGATCATGTACTATGTCGATGCAGAATGGAAGCTCAGTTGAAGACTTCGTGGATAGAGAGCAACCTTGGACGAAGGTTTTTGGGATGCCCTTAATATGGTGTAAGTGTAGATGGAAAAAAAATTGGAATGTCCTTTTGTTATACTGTTTGTAAAGGCAACTGAGATGTTTAAGAAAAAATATTGCAGAGTAGGCATGCATGTGGATTCTTTCTATGGGTGGATCCTCCATTGTGTCCTTGCGCTCGAGAGATCATACCTGGGTTGTTGAGAAGAACCACCATGCTTGAAGAGCAATTGAAGATGCACAGAGTAAGACAGAGGAAGTTGATTATTTTGATGGCATTGTCATGACTCATTTTTTTGGTGTAGGAACATGATTGGAGATGGTTCTGCAGCTGCTTCTCTTTCAAGCACTGGGAATGATGGAAATTGAAGCTTCTGGACTAGGAATGAAGTGGGGTTTTTATTTTTAATTATTTATTTATTTATTTTGTTTTGAAGCTTCTGGATTGGGAATGGAGTAGGAATGAAGTGGGTTTTTTTTTCTTCCTGTAATTGATGCTTATGGACTGGGAATGGATTTTAGGGTTTGATTTTGTGATGTCCAGTGTTATGTAATTGGGATTTATTATGTATGAATGTTATGAGTGTCCAAACATGTTTTGAATGACACTATATCAATGTTGAATCAAGTTGTAGCAATGTTTTTTAATCAACATTTGTTTATCAACTTTTGAGTCAATGTTGAATTTTTAAATGAATTTTGAATGAAGCTGTTTTGGTTTATCATTTTTTTCAATCACACTGTATCATAGTGTTGTTTCACTTTTGCTACATTGGTTTGTTTCACTTTTAGCAAACATGATGTAACCTATAACAAGACATAGAAATAAACATTGTAGACATGGTTAATACAAACAAAAAAACATGGTCCAAACATGGTGCAAACATGTCCTAATACAAAAAACAAATAATTCAAATAACACAAAGGCCAATCAGTTTACTACGTGCTAACAAAATACAAATGGAAAATCCAACAAAACAATACCATGTTCCAACAAAACATAAAAAGGCCAAATACAACAAAACATAATGCATAACAATCCACAAAAAAAATTGTTGTCTACTATTAGGTAACTACTCCTTCAACATTTAATTTCTTCCATGTTTTGGTAGTGAAGACAAAGTCACAAACTTCTGCCCCTTTGACACATATGTTGTTGATCCCCCATATGGACCTTCAGATGGGTTTGGTTCAATAAATGTGCTTATTCTAATGAACCCTGGTGGAGGTCCCCTAATGTTCACCCCTTGCAATGCTGGTCTGAAGTTGAAACTTGGTTGACTACCACTTGCTTTAGGCCTTACTGATATGCTTACCCTACTGCCTTGTTGACTAGTGGCTTCTGTGGTTGCTTGGTCTGTTGGTTGACTATTAGGTTGAGTAGGTGGCTGACTGCTTCTCTAGGTGCTTGATTAATTGTTTGTCACCTGCAAATTGTCAGTAATTAATTGTATGAAGGACCTCTAATATATAAATTGAATTTATGATGATGTAACAAATTGTGTGGGGTAACCTTTGGTGCAATAGGCTAGCCTTTGCATTCTCTTTTGTTGTGCCCAAGCTTACCACGCAAGCTGCATATAGTTGTTATGTTTCCACCGTGCAACTTATGAGGATTCTTAGGCTCATCTGCTTGCCTTTTTCTCAACTTTCTTGGCCTACCAGGTTGCTTCTTCACTTTTAGAGGCAATAATCCAGGCAACACAGACTTTGGCCACATTTCATAACCATTTATTAGGTATATCATTGGCTCGTAGCTAGCCAAATATGTCTCCTTCTTATACCAATGAGCCACATAATCTTTAGGTTGCTCATGTTTGTCATATATGGCTGAAATGGCATGACAACATGGTATGCCAGTTAGATCTCATTTTCTGCATGAATAGGTTGAATCACCCAAATCAACTACAAATTGTTGCCCATTGAAGCAATTGATTTGGTACCTCAGACCTCTTGCCCACATAGCAATACAATTGCATGCATCTTCTTTCCTTTTCTCCAGTGTTTGTTGTATATTAGGACAAATAGGTCCTGTGTAAGCCCTCATTACTTCCTTTCTCACCTGCAGCCTCTTCATCAAGATACACCTAATGTCCTCTAACAAAGGGATTATGGTTTTTCCTCTAGCTTCTAGGATCAAGCTATTAAAGCTCTCACACATGTTGTTGTCTAAGATATCAGACTTAATTGTAGGTGTGAAATGAGATTTAGGCCAGGTACTTGGGGGTTTTTCAACGAACCAATTGAATGCATCTTCATCAGCTTCCTTCAACTCTTCCATGTGAGCCTCAAATGCTTGTACATAAGAAGCCTTTGTAGCTTTGTACACAATGTCCTTCAGGTGCACTCCCTTGAAGCTATCTCTAAAATTGGTGTAAAGAAGTCTGATGCAGAACCTATGCGCTGTTATGGGTGAAACCTCTACAAGTGCTGGACACAATCCCAACATTTGCAGGGAAAAAAAAAAGAAGAAAAGGTTATACACATTAAATGAACTAAACAGTAAAAATAAATGCATGAAACTTCCAACAAGCATTTACCTTTTGCTTGTCTGACATGAAGGTCACTCCTTGTTTGTTGAACCACCCAAGAGTGTCACACAATATTTCAAAAAACCATTTCCATGAACTCTTTGTTTCTCCTTCAACAACTGCAAAGGCCAATGGATAGCTGTTGTTATTTCCATCCAAACCAACAGCTTGCAACAATTGTCCCTTGTATGGCCCTTTCAAATAGTAGACATCAACCCCAATGAATGGCCTACATCCTGCCAGAAAACCTTGCTTGCAACCTCCAAAGCATACAAAAATCCTTTGAAACCTAGGCTTGGCTTCATCTATTTCATGTTCTTCATTTTCTGATTCTTCATCATCTTCCTTAACTATGATAGTTGTCCCTAGATTAGTTCTTTTTATCTTTTCATAGTAATCCCATAACTTGGCATATTGTTCCATGAGGCTTCCCTCTATCAATTCTTGTGCTTTTCTCTTTGTTCTATACACTTGGCTCTTGGATATACCAACCTTGTGATCCTTTTGCATAGCTTGCTTGAATGACTGTATTGTAATAGATGGATTGGACTTTAATGTCTTCAAGTACTTCTTAGACAGCCAGGTAGAATTCACTTGTCTATTATAAAAAATTCTGCCACAATTGTGAGTGGGGACATATGTCTTTATCTGGAACGATGATTGTCCTTGCATCTTGGATGCATAAAGCATTCAATCACATAGTGGCTTACAAGTGGCCCTAACCCTCATGCTATCATTTTTGACTAACTTAATAGCCTTCCCAGTCTTAATAACATGCTCCTTAACAACAAAAACCATGCCAACCTTGAATTGTGGGTCTGCCATATCTGTGTTTGGATTAAAGTCTGGGTATCTAACCCTGTTGCTTCCAGCCTCTTCATCAGAAGATCCATTAATGCTCTTTAGGTCATCAGAAGTAGCATCAGGCTCTAGGCAATCAATATGAGGTACCTCAACCCTTTCATCATTATGCTTCTGTCTCCTTAAACCACCCCATTCAACATTCCTATCAACATTAGCATCAAATCGTATGTCATCCTCATTGAAATCATAGTCACTATCCTCAAACTCTTCTAGATCTATAGAATAGTTGGATGAATCATGACTTTGCCTTTCAACTTCAACTTCAACTTCAACTTCAACCTCACCCTCACTCTCACCCTCTACATTACTTGTGCCACTTCCAATTTCCTAAATGACAACTGATGCATGGTGAAAGGGATTAAACTCTTCAAGCTCAAACAACTGATCATCAGGGATGTGCTCTAGATACACTTCAATTATTCTACTTACATGCACCCATTTCACATATCTATTACATCACTATCATTCCTAAGTGGCCTTAATCCATACTTTAAGTCCCTACCAGGCACTCGATAATGGTATGAAATGAATTCAGTATATCTTAACTTTTGAGCCATATCCCCTATTTCTGTCAACCTCATTTTGTCAGCATCACAGTTGTCCCAAAATGATGATTTCCCCCCTACGTAAGCCCTATTTACTAAAGACTTAAAAACCCCACCATGATGCATTTTGATAGTGAAATAATCACCATCTGGATTTGAAATAGAAGATAACATATTTGTTGTATGATCCACAATACAGGACAAGGGGGACCACAACACATTATATATTCACCAATTATAGATATTGATTAGTTTTTTGTCAGTGTGTAGTTATGTAGATGTGTCGACATGCGTAAATATATAAACATATATTCATCTCGTCACTTTCAAACAAAGCAAAGCAAAAGTAGATTCTTTAACCCACCCAATGATTCAACTTGTAGACAAATAAAATAAAGCAAAATACAAAACCAAAAAAAATGGTAAAGAGTATTTTTTTGCTTACCGTAATCTGGTATTTCATCACCAATCCTCAAAATCTCCGTGTTCATCTTTTCACCTCGTCAATCATTTTTTTTCTCTATCCACGCCAATTTCAATAGATTTACAGTCAAATAATTTTTTGGTAACTCAAAACCCTAGAAACGATTCAATTGTGTAGAGAGAGAATGGACTTGCTGATTTGGGGGATGATGCAAGTATAGGGATGATGGAGGTAGCCTAGGGTTTGAGGTGAAAAGACGAGTGTGCCTTTCAGTAATTGCTAGAGGTAGCACGTGAGAGGCAGGTGCTGGCTTTCCGTTCATAATTTCAAATGGGTGTCAATTATTGGATGAAATTGACACAGTTCGCTAAATTGAGGGGCTAAACCGAGCAATTTGAAATGTCAGGGACCAAAATGACACACGGGATAAAGTACAGGGACTGTTTGTGTAATTTGCCCAAAAATCTATCACGTGGTATGAGGAGAAAGTTTGGAAGTTTGAGGTTTGGATACCAAGTCCAGTGTTCACATATATAATAGTATAGAAGATAGATAGATAAAGAAGTTAATATCATAATATGTAAGTTGTTTAAATGATAAATGTGTTCTTAATGAAATCTAAAGTCTTCGGTGCAGATCTTGCTTGCACTTTAGTGTAATAATTTTTTATTTTAACATATAAAAATCTACTATGTGACATGAGGAGAAGGTTTGGAGGTTTGAACACCAAGTCGATAGATAGATAGATAACAATGCAAACAATTTAGGATTTCTCCTCTCATAAGTGAATGTCTAAATTAATTCAAGCCAAATCAAATTAGGAATGACTGATGTCCATACGGCTGTTCTTGATAGTCTTCAAACTTTATTTAGTAGGTTTTATTTTTGGTTGCAACAATGATTTGAATTGTTCATTTTTTAAATCTCGTAATAAAGACCATCTATGCAAAAATTAGTTTAATTGGATATCAATAAATAAATAAACAAATCACATTATGTTTTGTAAAATGGACTGTTTAAGTTTAAACTCATAATTGTCATCCATTTAAAAATAAATAAAATATAATTTGTTTATGTGTCTAGTGATATTCGATGAAACTGATTTTTTACACAACTAATATTTATTGTTGAATCTACAAAATGAATAATTTGAATTATTATTGTGGGCATATGGCAGTTACCAATAAACTTCAAATATAAAAAAATATGTTGAATAACATTTGCCCAAGTCAAAACCTTAATACTAAATGCAAATGTTTTTTATGCTTTTTTAATTTTTATTTTTGGCCCTAAACTAGCTAACAACAATGTTCATTCCCGAAGTGGCTAATAGGTTGGCATGAATGGCGATCTCCATTTTAGGGTTGAAGGTTTAGATGGAAGAGGTTTCGTCGTCTGTTACTCAATTTGTCCTTCTAGAGTCTATTTGATGTTCTTTCTTGCCTTTATTTTATTTATCCTATCTAAAAAAACAATGTTTATTCCCAATTGCAGCCTTATCTAAGCTAAGCTAAGCTAAGCCAAGTCAGACGCATTGGTCTCCCAGTGTCTCAAAGTTTAGCAAGAAAATGGTTGCTATAGGCCATGGTCATAAAAATTTTAATTTTTTTTTCTTTTCTTTTCTTCTTCTTCTTTTTTTTTTAATATTTTTTTTAATGAAAACATTTGGTTTTATTTGATTTCGTTTTTAGAATTTATTTTTAAAATTTTCTTCAAAATTTAAAAGTAATTTGATTTGAAAAACAAAAAATGAAAAACACTCATCATTTTCATACAATCTTGTCTTCTTAGGGGTAAAAATAATTTTTAAAAATTCAAAAATACTTTTTTTTTGTTGTGTGTGTATGTGTGTGTTTTTTTTTGTCAAATTAATTGTTTTTTTTTTCAAAAAAAAATTTAAAAGTAGTTTATGAAAATCAAACCAAACAAAATCCTTTAATTTATCATTTCTATTATTTAAAGGAAAATTACACTTGGCCCTCAACTATTCATGTGTCACTTTATCGTTAATAAAAATTGAACAGTTAACCCCTCCTCATCTATTTATTTATTTATTTTTCAATATGGAACCTTAATGACAAAAGTATCCCACCATAGAATAAATTACACTTTACCCCTTAAATTATCACTTAATATCGTTTAACCTCCCTCAACTAAATTACACATTTTCATCCTAAACTATCAATTTCTATCATTGTGAACCTTTTGTTAAGGATTCGTTACATAAATAGATAAAAAATTGACAATACAAAAAATATATGATTTAGTGACATAAATTTAGTGTCATTTTCTTAGAAAATGCCATGAAAATATCATCTGATGGCATGTTATAGATTAGTAGCATTAACCAAGTGTCATTTTTTCATGTAGCACTACAAAAACATTATCAGTGACAAGTTTTAAAAAATGTCACAAAACCATTTACTATTATTAGCATTTCATTAAGTTACTTTAAATCTAATATGTGCATTGTAACGGTTTGTTGTGTGTGTATGTGTGTGTTTTTTTTTGTCAAATTAATTGTTTTTTTTTTCAAAAAAAAATTTAAAAGTAGTTTATGAAAATCAAACCAAACAAAATCCTTTAATTTATCATTTCTATTATTTAAAGGAAAATTACACTTGGCCCTCAACTATTCATGTGTCACTTTATCGTTAATAAAAATTGAACAGTTAACCCCTCCTCATCTATTTATTTATTTATTTTTCAATATGGAACCTTAATGACAAAAGTATCCCACCATAGAATAAATTACACTTTACCCCTTAAATTATCACTTAATATCGTTTAACCTCCCTCAACTAAATTACACATTTTCATCCTGAACTATCAATTTCTATCATTGTGAACCTTTTGTTAAGGATTCGTTACATAAATAGATAAAAAATTGACAAAAAAATATATGATTTAATGACATAAATTTAGTGTCATTTTCTTAGAAAATGCCATGAAAATATCATCTGATGGCATGTTATAGATTAGTAGCATTAACCAAGTGTCATTTTTTCATGTAGCGCCATAAAAATATTATCTAGTGACAAGTTTTAAAAAATGTCACAAAACCATTTACTATTATTAGCATTTCATTAAGTTACTTTAAATCTAATATGTGCATTGTAACGGCTCAGGTCGAGACCCAACCCTTTTTGGCTCCTTTGGTTGATTGTATTGAATCATTTGGCTTGTCTATCGCCTATTCATTTTGGGAATTGCCTAATTTCTCTTTCTATCTTTTTGTTTTGAATTTTTGGCTTGGTTGAAGGTATGTTCTAGACATTTTGAACAAAATTCTAGGTTGGCGATTGATCATATTTGGGAGTGTTCAATTGCTCTTCATATTTATTTTGGATCGATTTTGAACAGAATACTTTGATCGAAAGCCGATCGATCTCACTTGGGCGATCGATCGTTAGGTAGTGTGATCGATCGCTTTACCTATTTATTTTGGATGAGTTTTCAGCAAAATGTTTCGATTGCAAGGTGATTGACCTCATTTGGGGTGATCAATCGCAATGACTAGAAACAATTTTATTTCACTTTCTCTTAATCTCACTATTACCCTAATTGTCTCCTTCAACATCCACTTGTTTTATTGTCAAATTCAAATTGAAATGTATTTGATAATAGATTTTCAGACTCTTATTATTTTGGAGTGAAAGGTATCGTTCATCTAAAAAACCTTAACTATTTTTGCTTGAGTCTTATTTATATATTTGTTAAAATTGTGATTGATAAGGAAATCAAATGTTTGAATTTAAAATATTTTTTGTCCTTTCTCAAAAACACTTAGAATCCCTCCATAAGGCACCATTACAGGTAATCTCTCCCCCCTTTCTTCT